CACAATCAGTATATACACTACTACTGAAAGGCTTTGGGGCCTGTATACACATCTACAGAAGATTACAGAAAAAAATTCTAATACACTGCTCAGCAAGGCCGTGCATTTTATACACAGTCCAATTTAAATGTATGGGACCAGTATGATTTCATATAACACTTATTTTGTATAGAGTCCTTGTTACACATGTTCTGTGAACTTACTGTTGTAATAACAGTAAATTATAATTAGCATTAAAGTGCCAGCAGTTTATTATTATTACTTAGTACTTACATTTACAGTTACAATGTAACAATGACACAAAAATAAAATAGTGTTTTTGACAATTCTTCTGAAGTATAATGTATTATTTTCCACAACAATATGGAACAAACAAATTTGATGCCAACACAAATAATATAGAAGCACTTCCTCACAACTTCCAGTATTAAGACTGCCACTCTTTAAAAAACACAACAGATTAGCCTAAAAAACCTGAAATATATATATGGAAGAACGTGTTAAATAAGTGATGGAAGACAACTTCAATTCTCCATCACAGTATTGAAGTTTAAAATATTTCTGCAATGCAATGTCAGTTTCACATGATCCTTTTAAGACTATTGCTGGTTTGGTTCTCCAAAATGGTTCTTCTTTATATCAGTTGCAGGACAATACACTCTAAACTGAAAATTGTGCCATCATTTACTCATCCACTTTACCTATTGCAGTTTCTGCACTCTGTTGAACACAAAATAAAATATGTTGAAGACTGATGGAAAGCAGCAGCCATTAACTTCAATACTATTTTTGTTCTAACTATGGATGTCAATGACTTTTGGTTTTCAACATCCTTCAAAATACCTTTTTTGTGTTCAACAGAAAAGAAACTCAAACAGGTTCTAAAACACTTAAAAGGCAAGTAAATGACGACAGAACTTTAATTTTAGGGTGAATTTTCCCTTTTATATTTTGTGAAATCATGCAGTTTTTGATTATTTTTACATTTTAAATGAGCTGTATTTAAAGTAAGAAAAATGAAAGTAGTGGCATGGCCAAGTATGTTATCCTATAGTCAGAATTTGTGTTCTGCATTTACACAATCCGAGTGAACACATAGTATCTATTGGAAATGAAAATCTTTTGTAATCTTTTTGCTAAATAAGTATTAATTCATTAAAAAATACGGACTTTGTGATCCCAAAATTTTAAGAGGAAATTAACCCTTTTCACAAGACTGTTATCATGTGTTTAAATGGTCATCAGCATCTTAAACCCTTATAATGTTTTTAATATTTAGATTTTTTTTAAATGTATAAACATTTATATGTATTTACATATGTATTATATCTTTTCATCAAATTACAAAAAACTTGAAAAAAAAATATTGTACTCCTATTCACTCTGCTCTTAGTTTACCACCTATGACAACTATCGCTACTGAGAAGCCGAAAAATGTGAAAAGAATCCATAAAATTGTATTATATTATTAACTAAATAATGATTTAAAACCTCTATGAGCTGGTACAGTACAGGTGTCCCCACGCATTCCTCTGCCTCCATCTGCAAACTCTTCTGCAAACTACAAAATAAAAAAATAACCTTGTGAAAACACTGGAAAAAAAGTGAAACAAACGATTCTAAAGTCGAACAAATTAACAGATTCTAATTATAATCATCAATCACCTGAGTAGTTTATCATCCGAGAGTCCACGTGGATTGTGAATAGAAATGTAAGGGGATGAATATGGATACTGGAAGTAAATTAAAAAGGCCAACATTAATACAAAATTCCTATGAAAGAAATTACAAGTTAATACAAGACATGCTAGCCTTGATCCATTAAAATCTAATTCATTTACTAATAAAACAAAATCCAATCAGTAATAGACAGCACTAAAGAAGTGGCATATATTTGTAAAAGTACAAAAACTCAATAATTCACCACTCTGGAACTAGAAGCTGCTTTCTGAGCAGTTTTAGAATACTGATATGTAAAGATTTTGAGTTTCATAAAGCAAAATGTGTACGGCAAAAAGTATGTGCTTTTTATGAGGTGTACACAACTTAAAACAAATAAAAGGCAATGAATACAAGAATGAGAGAAAAGAAAAGAATGAGAGAAATTATTTTAAATGTTACTTTACTTCCATTGGGAATAATGGCATTACGTACATATATAATATGTAATCATGCAACCCAATAAAAAATAACTGTAATCTCATAATAAGCATTTATTAATAATATACATTTCATTTGTCTTTTTTTTTTTTTTTTTAGCAATTTAACCAACAAACCTGAGAGTCCAGATCCATTGTGAGTGTCAGTCGGACAAACTGAGAGAGACAGTCCTCTGCAGTGGAGGGATGGAGCACCAAACTGACAGTCCACCCCCTAACAGAGACAAATGTGTAAACCACACAGTGATTATTGTATAAGCTGATGACACTTAACTAAATTATTACCTCAAGCTGTTATTAAAATAACTAAAATAGCAATCAAATACATTTACCCCTCATCGTTCTGAGTAACGTTGAGTTCATCCAAGTAGATAGACTGCAGCACTTCAATTTCAGAAAGGACGCTGTGAAGTAAACAAATGTGAGCTGAATTTCTAGAACAACTGCAAGTACGGCATTAGCATGACACATCAGATGAGCAGAAACAAAAGCACGTTTACCACAGCGACTGCAGTAACACACTTGGCCAGTTGTTTACTTGGATACTGATAATGCAACGCCCATGACTACCGGTTGAATAAGAGCAACTTAACCATGGATGATACCCTCGGACCAAACTATTTCAGTCGGTGATCTGTTTTTGGTGCTTTTTGGTCTGTATTACTGTTACTATTTACACGGTATGTACTATTTAGTCATCTATCGCATATTATTAAGAAGTGCGCAGTACAGTTCGACTAATTTAAGTCTTACATATAAGATATGTTCGGTTTATATGTCAACAACCAATGTTGTATATATGAATTATTAATAAATACACGTTTTCTGTCAGTATTTACCAGCAGCACAATACTCACTCGCTCTCGGCAGCCATGGTCGCCCGATGACCTCACGTGTCCACGTCACGACACTGGTCACGTGACGCAGAGCAAACAGATGGGAATTTAATGGATTTACCATTCAACAAACTTGATCCAGAGGTCAGATTATATAATTAAAAAGAGACAATGCAGGTTAAAACCGCGCAAATGTCCATTTTGAAATATTGAGCGCTCAAATACGCATTTAAATGTATCATTTGTCGCACTTAGTCAATTTGTATCAGTAGATTTGTTACATTGTTAAAGGCCGTTTCCTCAAAATGAGTTTTTTTCCCAGCATTTAAACACATCCCAAACGTTAGGGTTTTTTTCAAGAGGGATAATATGATTCCACATTAAATCATATCAAGTATAACAGGCCCGTAGCCAGCCTGGTGAAAGGGTGGTTATTTTTTTCTCTCAATTTTTTTTTCTTTTTAAGCGGCTGCCTACCCCACTTATTGGTGAAGTCCACCCCAGGTCATCATAACCACAATTTTGATTGTACCAAAAACATTTCCTAAATATTTAGAATAATTTTATTTAATTTTATTATTATTATTTTTAACAAAACATACAGACTTAAAAAAAAAAAAAAATATATATATATATATATATATATATATATATATATATATATATATATATATATATAATAAAAATATATAGATTCAACCACCCCCACCCATCCCCTGTGTTCTTTTTAAACTGGTGTATCCAATGTATAGAAGTTAACAGAAAACAAAAACAAAGTACAGTATCAGTTGGATCCTGGTTGTTTTGTGCAATAAACATGAAGATTTTATCAGCTGCTGAAGTCCAGATCGTTAATTTACTCGTTTGTACTAAGTTCACTCGAGCTGTGAATAATTCCTACATTATAATGTCCTGAAGTTGTACCAACCACCTGCACGTGTCCAAATTATGTGGAGGCAGCCAATGTTGGGCTAGTAGTTTTTTTTAGAAGTTAAGCCAGCCAAACAGCTTTTTGTAGCTTGGTGAGATTCAACATAGAATCATCGCTCAGTAATAGAATGACAGGATTCACTGGTACAGGATATTCAGTAATTTTAGATAGGACAACACAGACTTCATTCTAAAATGGTTGCTTTCCCACATTCCCACATCATATTAAAAAAAATCCAAGTTCCTGGTGAGGACATTTATCACAGAGAGGACTAAAGGAGGCATTGATATGATGTCTTTTGAGTGGGATCCAGTAGGTTCTATGACAAAAGTTATAGTGAATGAGTTGTGGATTGGAATTTTTAGATGAATTAAAAATTATTTCCCAGTCTGTGACACCCTCTTCTAGATGATGACAGTCAGTTTCCCAGTGATGTATAGCTAAATGCTTTGCTGTACCCTCTAAGGCATTTCTGCACATCCATGAGCCAAAATTATTAGAAGAGGACTGATCAAACAAAGCAATGATTGGATAAGATGGAAGATTGTCCCCTCAGGGAACCCCATAGGCCTTCATGGCAGATCTTAATTGCAAATATAAAATGAGAGAAGGTTCAGTTTTTACCGCTCACTTAGTTCTTGAAAACTTAATATGCCATTAGAACCAAAAATATCTTTTAGCAAATAATTGCCTTTCTGCATCCATTTCCTTGAAAGAAATGGTGCACCACCGGATCGAAATTTATTTTATTTTATATACAAATGCATTACATCACATGTCATTAGAATACATTAATGGCTATTTTTGTAGTGTCTCTTGTAAAATAGTACATTTGAAAAGTCATAGAAAACAACAAAAGCCAAATTAGTATTAAAATTAACTTTCTTTCAATCTACCAAATACACCCCAGGCTACGGGTCTGTACAAGAATTTTCAGAATTATGGAGAGCTAAAATTCCGCAAATGCCCCCTGTAAAAACCTTTGACTATAATATGATAATAAAGGAAACAGGAATTCCTGTGGTGGAAATGTATGCAAAATATTGCATATTAAATAAAAAGATGCCTCATTTGGACATTTTTTAATCAAATTTTATTGCTAATTTATTATTTGCATACATTATTGATAGTCATTTTAATCCATCATTAAAAATCTTGATAACAGTGGAACACATCAGACAGCTGCAAATAGCGTGTTTGCTGGACCAGGCTTTTTAATGCCAGTGTAAATCCATGCCAATCAAATCACCTTTCGTTAAAAAAATACACGCGCACACAGACAAAACACTGATAAACAAACAACATGTAAACAAATGCTGATATTCGGCACATAATAGCAAATTATTTTAATTCCTCCTGGGTTCATCTAATCGCAGTGTTAACATAAAAAGTCACATTTCTCAACTGAAAACTTGCAAAGGTGATCCATTTGTCCATATTTCCTCCAACACCTCTGCTCTAACAGCATTTCTTCCCTTTCTTCCTCCTTTCTCTGTCCCTGTGGGAATTGATATGGACAGTGTCCTTTTCTCTCTCCCGCTCTCTTTCTGCTCGACTCTGGCTCTGTTTCTTGGCCCGAAGGACCATGTGGGTAAAAGCCATGAACATCTGAAAATCACAAACATTATGAAGTACTTTAATGCAAGTGGACAAAGGCAACATGTATATTCCGAATAGCCTAAAAACTTTATATGTAGTAGAGCTGAGCTGATAAGCGGTATTATATCTAATAATCACAATAAAATTTATGTCAGTAACAATGATAAGCTCTGGGCTTTTTTTTACTCTATATTAATCCAAGAGCCAATCCCACAGAAGAAATGTGCAACAACATGAATCTAAAAGTGTGTTGATATTAGAGATGCACTGTAATTTTGGCCACTGAAAATTTATCGGTAGAAAATATGTTGTGCCTTTTAATGGACCCTCTAATTTTTGTGGCTTCAGTGATTGTTGAGGTACTCTTATGAATCTGGAAGCATTATTAACTGATATTGAAATACATATCATTATCATTCAATATGGAAAATAATTATCAAGATTGCATTTTTGCCATATCGCCCAGTTCTAATATGTAGTTTTAAATTTTTTTTTAATTCACTTGACTTTAAACTAAAAGTGCTCCTTTTCATGCTTTTTGAATTTATCATTCGTCTATTTAATGTTTAATATTGCATTTGTGAGATTTAAAAATCTTTTGAATATTAAAGTAATAAATTCAATTATTGTCCCTAATAAGAAACTACAGATTCTGACAAGCCTGAAACGAACTGTCAGTAACAAATTTGCATGATTTCAGCCTGTAGACTTAATTTGTAGCTTGCAAGACCAGAGAACTGGTAGCTGAGTCCTACAAGTGTGGAGTCTGACTTGTGTTACTGACATGTTAGAAGAGCAAAATCATTTTTCAAAAGTAAAAGCATTCACACGAAAACTGACAAGGTAAAACCAACTGCTGAGAAAGCTGAAAGTTAAACATGGTAATGACGTTATGTTTTGACACTTGCTGTAAGAGTCACCAAAGCTTTTTTGCTAGCTAAAAACAGCAGCACTGTTCCAAAAAAACGCTCAGCTGAGAGCACTTTCCCAACTGTCAGAGAATAAAAATAATTTGTAAAAAAATTCCAGAACGCTCTTGCTACGCCTATGGCAAAAATGTGACCCTTCCACTGACAACAACAGAACAAAATGCTCAGCTCAAGAAAAAAAAATGCTTTGTGGACCTGCTCCCTAAGTGGTAGACCGATCACAATCGCAACATTTGACCAATCAAACCAGGATAGCCTCTTCAAAAGGAGTTTATAAGAGGTCAGATCCTTGAAATAATCATTTCAGAAACTCTGAAAGAAAAAGGTGATGCTGCAATGAGTATTAAAAAAGGATATTGAAAAGTTTTTTAACTTTGGACTAACTGTAGAAGAAACCTTAAAATAGCATAGTAGGAGCACTTTTAGTGTTGCAAAAATTAAATGAATTAGAGCTTTTATGGATAAAATGTAAACACAGGACTTCAATAAAATCTAAAAAAGTTGAAGTATTTTTGAGAAAAATGAATGAATTTACAAATAAAACCGTACCTCTTCTACATTGATGTTCTCTTTAGCACTAGTTTCAAACAACCTCACGCCAACTGACTCTCCAAAGCGCATAGCATCCTGGGTGTCCACAAGTTTTTTTGAAGGATCATCATTCTTGTTTCCCACTGTTAGAGATCAAGATGAAGAGGAATATTAAATATTGTCTGTTGATACAACAAATTCATTTAATATAACCAAAACAAATTGTGTCTTGCAGCACATAACTGGAAGATCTGAAGCAAATAAAATAAAGTGATGTGTATGAACTAACCTAAAATTTTGCAGACATTGTCACAGTTTTGCGAGATCTCATTTAACCATCTTTTCACATTGACAAATGATTCAGGGTTTGTGACATCGTAAACGATGATGACACCATGAGTGTTTCTGTAATACCTAGAGAAATGCAGCAAACACATGAGAAGGACACAGAAAGAGATTAGAGAGGTAAATGGTTAAAAGAATTAGTTCACCCAAAAATTATAATTGTGTCATTACACACTCTCATGTCAATTTAATTCCCAGAGACCTAAAATATATTAAAGGGCACCCAAGATGAAAATCATCTTTTGAAAGCTGTTTGGCCAGAACTGTATAGTTATAGTGTGTTCACAGTCATACTGGAGTGGAGTAATATAAAAGACAAAATAAATATTGTTTTTATTTAAATTTCCTGACGTACAATCAGATCCAAATCCCTTCCATTTTGAGGCCCAGCACAATGTGATGTAGGAGTGCAGTTTTCCTGCCCACTGAATTGATTTACCGCCGCATATTAACATGTCTCCGTAGTAACACATATTATAACAAGAAAGGAAGTGCGCAAAACAAGTGGGATTAAAAGATCTGATCAGCTCTCTAGGATCAGTAAATGTGATCAAGAATTGAGTTTTACAAGTTTAATACGTTTTTTAAAACAGTGCATGCTTGTAATCAATTACGATTTTACGATCTTCAACTGCACAGCCGCATGTCAGTACAATTATAAAAGAAGACTCTTCAATCTCTATTTGTGGATGTTAAATCAGGATTTTTTGTGCATTAACATAACAGATATCCATACAGAAGTGGATATTAACGTGTATCCTGTCACATTTGTCGTGCAAAAACAGTGCAACGTTAAACGCGCACGCTGTGTGTGTGTATGCATGAAGTTTGTAACAACTTTGTGTGTGACTCATCTTTGCAGAAAGGCTTGAATTAATGCCACAACAAATACATCAAATAATTATTGGGACAGTTTTTACTGTAGTATTTCTCACAACACGAGATCTGCTTCCTTCATATCGGTCACTGTGCTGTTTATCTGACGCAGCCGAGGGGGAGAACCAGCATTAAAGGTACAGACAACAAAAACAGCTACATTGTGTTCAAAGCAGAAAATTTCAATATTTTGAACGCTATAATAAATAATCTGTTGGGTGTTTTGATCTGAAACTAGACACATTCTGGAGACACAAAAGGCTTATATTAAATCTTGAAAAAGGGGGGGAAATAGGTGCCTTTTAATTTGTGTTAGAGAAAAAAGGTCTCAGAGGATCTGAATGACATGATGGTGAATAATTAATAACAGAATTTTCTTTCTTTTTTTTTTTTAAGTGAACACATTTTTAAAAGTCTAACTAAAAACGAAAGACTCTTACGTTGAGGTGATAGTTCTAAACCTTTCCTGCCCTGCAGTGTCCCAGATCTGGAGTTTAACCCTTTCTCCGTCAATCTCTACAGTGCGGATCTTGAAGTCAACTCCAATAGTGGTTATGTAACTCCCTGCGAAAATTACAAGTATATTATTATATGTAGCTAAAACATTTTTATAACACTTCTTGACTTTCAAGCAAACATACAAAACTCTCAATGTGCCTCCATGAGAACAATAAATTAGATCATGTATTTACAGGCCCTTTGCCTCACTTTCTATCATTTTCACACAAACACACACTCCAAGTCCGCCAAGTAGACTCACCAGAGAATGAGTTGTCTGCAAATCGCAGGAGCAAACTGCTTTTTCCCACATCTGGAAGAGCCAAAGAAACACTTATTAAATGATCTGCTGTAATTCAACACTGCTTATAAAAAACAAAAGTATGACAGTGTTATCTTTTTTTAAACCAAACAAGATCATAGTAACAGACATTTACATTAAACAATTAAAGAAATAATACAGAAAAATGTGATTTAAATTTAATTAAACAAGTTCAATGACAATAACAAATCTAAAAATGTCCAACTGCATCATATCATTTAACACTAGTAAAGATGCCCAAAACAGCATGTCAGTGGCCACAACCGTCCAAATCTGGCAGCTGTGGTTAATACTAGTAACATTATGCAAATGACGAAATCTGAGATAGCATCAAACAAAGCTATGATCTGAAAGAGGAAGTACACACAGCAGATGATGACATATCAGATTACTGATTTGATCATATGAGGATAAATAAGTGGTATAGCAGACTAAGTGAACTTTTACAAACTCATTTCTGAACTAAACTGAGAAGAGCACATGATATGATTGATCACAGCTGATCTCTCATTTGGAATCAGTAATAATCAATCAGATTGATTCGCGCTTACAATAAATAGACTGAATTCGATCTACTACTTTATCTTCGTTTTGGAAGAACCCCCCCCTTCCACCTTATCTCCTCCTTTTCCTCCCTTTACCAGGGGGAGATCTCGAGATCTACCTGATCTCGAACCCCCTTCTATGCTAATTGACCTGCAGACGAGAGCCCTACGCTCAATTATCTCCAAACTCAGGGTTTTCTCCTGGGACAGCATGCCAAACCTGCTATTAGCATCAAGCAATATCTGAGTGTGAACTCTTAAAACCTCAGATGTCAAAAGGCACACAAAGCTAGAAACACTTCAGAAATGTCAATGTTGACATCTGATTGGATGATTGCAGATTGGCATGGAAATTATTATTGTTAAAAACTGTAATTTACTGCTTATGACCAACTTCACAGACCAAAACAATGACCCCAAGAGTATTCTTTACAGAACGAATCTCACCCAAGTCTATATTTATGGACTGATCTAATGACTAAATTCATAAAGGAGCAAGGACTAACATTACACATTTGCACATAGTAGTTTCATTTCAGCTTTCCAGTTTGCGGTTTACTTGTGCAATTGCACAGCCATGTTCCAGTAAATACAATCTCAAACATTCTTTCCAGTGGACATAATGCTGGAAAAATAATTGGGCGTAATCACTTATTTTATGCCAAGAACTAGGGATTCACTAGTATAAAAAAGGCTGAATAGGCAAGTGTGAAAAATCAAATGTACTGACTTGAGTCACCAATGATGAGCAGCTTGAAGAGATGGTGGTAGTCTTTTCCTGCCATTCTTCCCTTTAAAATGTATCCTCATGAAACAAACTTTCAACTTCTGTCACTTTTACCGCGTCTTAAAGTGGCAGGAAGTTTAGGGCAGATGACTTTGAATAAACAACTGCAAGCATTATGTACTTGTGTATCCAGTTTTTCATTCGAGCTCAAGCGTTAAATGATTCACCAGTTTGATTTCAGTGCATTTCCACTCATGAATCAGTGCAATTTTCCACGTTTATCTTAAAACAGACTTTACATCTCCAGTTCTTTTCCCATTTCTTATTAGTGCTCACAGTTAAAATCTAAGTGAAATTTACTCTTTGCCGCCTCACCCGCAAGTGCAAACACATTACCACTTTGTTGTGGTTAAGTCTCAAATTACTCAGATCTCAAAACGAGTGTTTCTTTAAATCGTTGACGGGGCTCATAATAACAGGTTTTGAGTATGTCAGGAACCAGTTCACACGGAAAACAGGGCAGTTTGTATGAGATCCAAGATGTTTGGTCTCCAAATCTCGATCATCCAGATATGAAGATGGCATCTTGTCACAACAATCCCATTCCGCCTATTAAACCGATGCATGCATGCAGGGGCTGGTAGCTTCCCTCCCTTTGAAAGAACACAGGTATTCCAAGACACTGCAGGAATGCAGATTCAAGCCGGAAGTGAGGCAAGTACCTTTCGGTCTCCCTGAAACCAAAATCCTAGAAAAAATAAAAATAAAAGAGAGTCAGTATTACTTTTGCATGTTGTTCAAGTATAAATACTCTCCCCCTTTACCCAGAACAGCAGCTGTAGGACTAAATATAGCTTCACGCAGTCTGACAGAGAAATGACACCCTCTCAGATAGTTCAAAACCACAGGCACCAGCTTTACTCTTTAGGCCCGGATAGGTGTGCACACAGCTGAAACCAAAACAGTGGTGGACAGAATCATTAAAATAGCATATAAAGCTAGCTGCTGAGTCAAGACAAAGCTAGATAGTCGGTAAACTGCCAAAAATGTTCCATGAAAACAGGAAGGGACGTGTTTTTCCTCTGAGCTGCTGTTGCGAGGAGGGCACAAGTTTCTCATTAATTAAATACTTAAGTTTTGTTTTGGGTCTAAAATGAAGTGAAAGGGTTAAACAGGAACGTCCTTTGGGCACATGTGATCTTTTTTTACAGAAAAAAGGTGGAAGTGAAATAAAATTGACACACCTAAGCTTATGTCCGCTTACCAGAAAATCTGAGAAAATAATGGTGGCAACACAGCCAAACAAATACTTGTGGTAAAACAAACACAAAAGTGAAACTAGTCGGTGGTCTACGCATGTACTTTGAACGGAATCACGGTCAAAACAAGCCAAAATAACATTTAATCTTTTTTTTAAATCTAGACGTAGATCATTTTTACGCTGTACATCATTTCATCTAAACGTTTATCATAATCGACTGCCCTTCTGAGATAAGCGACCTTTAACTTAGTGGAAACCAAGCGGTCACGCGCAGTATCCCGCATATATTAAACGGACACACCTGTAAAAACATAAAATCCTACCAAACCTCAAGCTGATCTTTCAAAATGAAACGCTTCTAAGATCCGTTGCCTTAATCCGCTTGATCAAACTTGTGTCCATTACTCAACTCGTCGAGTAACTCCTTGGTTGCATCTTAATCAGTTGTTTTGAAATGTAGCTAGGCTAGCTACTTAACTAGCCGCAGATGCTCCAAGATAATAAGATCACACTCGAAGCCACATACTGTAAGAGCTCACCGAAAACACTTTAAACCACGTATTCCTAACACGCCGAAGGCAAATCCGGAAGACTTTGCTGAAGTTTTTGGCAAGTTTGACGGGTACTTTGTCGAGTCAGTCTCGCAAGCAGAACCGGGATCCGGGAAGTCCAGTGTTAGGGGAAGTTCGGTCAGTGTCCCAGCGGCCGCAGAGATCAGATCCGCCCATTCGAGGCCGCCGCACCTGAATGTCGAGTCACTCTCATCCTCATCCTCATCATGTGCCCGAGTTTCTCAGTCTACTCCTCCTCCTCATGCCACTCCTGTTGCTGCTGAGATTACCATCGCTATTCTGTTGCCACAGACTAACTGATGACATTCCAGCCAGAAGCACGTCCTGGAAAAAAAGTATGTGCATACCTAAAAAGCATTTTGGCAATTTTGTGATTGGCATACGCAATGCTGTCTAAGTAGTGCGCCCATTATGATTTGAGACACTCTTGATTTCAATGAAAAAAATGACCATAAAATGTTTCTTTAAAAGACAACTCATCCTTATTATTTTTATCAAAACATCAGTGGTGCTTGAAAGTTTGAAAAAATGTATTTTTTGGATAAATAATGTAATTGATGTTGTTTAGCCAAGTCATTTTATTACAGTGGTTTGATCAACATTGGTAGGAAACAGTAATACTGTTTTTTATTTAATACTGTTAATACTATTTAATACTGTTTTTTTTAAAATATATTTTAATCTATCTCAGAATGCAAGCAACTGAGTTCAGGAGCAGGAATACTGTATAAAAGCCTGGAGCAAACAGACCAGCAGCACACAACAGACTTCTGTATATTGTAAGTCTTGGGCTCCTTGTTCTCAACATAAAATAAGGTAAAGAATTTTGGGGATCACTTTATTTGCATCATCCCTTTAATAAATTTTTTTTGAATTACTATAACATCTACACAAATTTGCCTTATACACCCATTATCATGGAGCAGTCAAGTCAGGTAAAGATTCAGTTAAAAAACAAAAAAAAATCTCTCTCTCTCTCTCTCTGTCTGTCTGTCTCTCTCTATCTATCTATCTATCTATCTATCTATCTATCTATCTATCTATCTATCTATCTATCTATCTATCTATCTATCTATCTATCTATCTATCTATCTATCTATCTATCTATATAAATATATATATAATTTTGATGAATTCATTTTTTCATATGCAAACAAATCATTTAAAAATTTAGAAATGTAAATACAATTAAACATAGAAAAGAAGATTCAGTGATATAAGAAAAACCCTGCAAAATAAATATATGAAAAATTAATAAAACTACATGCTTGCAAAGTTTCTTATGGTCAGTTAAATGTTGAAGGAGCAGTATCAGCAGATATTAAGCAGACAGTCTACTAAAACTCAAGTGAGAATGAATTGGTGTCTAGTTGATATGCAACTTTTAGTCAACATAATGTGCAATAGAGACCATCAAAATAAAGTCTTGCAGGATTTTGTTTTGTTCTTGTATTTGTTTTATTAATCCTTTTCCCTAAATTTAGTTTTAAAAAAAGAGTTTTATCAATCCTCCTGGAGTAGACATTTAATTAATTTGCAGAATCCACCAAGATACTTTGTGGTAAGTATCAATCTAATGGTTCCCTCAAAGAGATTACAAAATATGGCTCAAAACAAAACTGTAAGGAATATCAGGATTCCCACTCTTTCATGAATTGCAGATTCAAGAACGTTTGAGAGCATCATTCATTTCAAATCAAGCATTAATCTTAATTCCTCCAGCATATGTAGTACCATGAAAGTCCTTACTGTACTTAACATTTCATTACATTTAATGCCAACATTAAAATGTAAAAGTAATGATGATGTTTGTGTCCGTTTTAAACAGTCATGTTTAAAGAACAAATAAGATGTTCATACACAAATGCTCAATTAAATACTGGTAATATTCAAATGTGGTTTCTGAAATATCCTCATAGATCATTAATGAAAGATTTTTAAATTAGGAAATGATAAACTTTTAGTTCTGTTTTGACAGCAGCACAGTACAATTGCTGAAATCACACCATGAACAAGTTCAGTTAATGCAAACACTTCATATGACCTATGTTTGTTTTAGTTTCTTTCCAAGCCTAGAGTTCATATGTCTGATTTTCAAAAAGCGTGGATACCCTGTATAGTCAAGAGAGGATCCTGGAACTTTATTTAATCAGGGTATTAAATGAAGGAATCCAGCACAACACTTACTACAGGCAATAGTGTATGAGTGAGCTCTCAGGTGTCATCTAAAATCCCTTAAACTTATGTTCTGAAGATGAAAAAAGATTTTTGGTTTCCGGGTCCCACTAGTTTCATGAACACCGGATACAAGGACTTTTAAAGCACAAAGACCATGGCCTCTAGCGTCTATCGCTGGAGCCCCTTTTGAGGTCAAAAGAGTGAGATTTACCTACATAGCATTTCGCTAGCTGGCCAATGTTACACTTACCTCCCTAAATCTCACTCCCATCCCGGACGAGCCCCCATGTGTAATCCACCAGTTCTACGGCACCCTACCCGCGCTAAGCAGGGATCGCAACGACGATTCTTTGCATAGGCTAAAGACAATGGCCTTTATTGTCTGTCGCTAGAGCACCTTTTGAGGTCAGAGGAGTAAAGTTTACCTGCATAGCACTTCGCTAGCTGCCTTTGTTACACAAACAAAAAATAAAGTATTGAGCAAAAAATAAATGCAAATCTTTAAAAATCACAAAGCAAAAATTAACTTTTGAGAAATAAAAATTAATTTTGTTAACAAAAAAAAAAATAACTGCAAATGGAAAATTAAGTTGAGACATTAAAAAAATTTACAAAAAAAAAAAGAACTGCAAATAAAAATTTAGCAGTGCAAAAAAAAAATATATATTTGCAACAAAAAACAACTATATATATTTTTATAGCATTGCCTTTACAATACCAAATGCTACAAGGGATCTTTGGCTTTTAAGGCATGCCCAGACCTACTGGGCTGTAAGACCACCTCAGTGATACAGTGTCTCCAGGTGAAGACGTCACTTAAATGGAGCCAGGTTCAGCCCTACTGTAAACGCCCAAGTTCCTTTGACTCCGCCTCCTTGTCAAATTAGGGCCACAAAGTGAAATGCGCAGAAGCGTGAAGTTCAAAGTGAAAACCACATTGCAAACTCACGGCTGACTAAAAAGCAAAGTGATGTAAAGGCAATGCTATAAAATGTTTTGCTGATATATAGTTGTTGTTTTTTTATTTGCATATATTTTTGTTTTTGTTTTTTGCTCTGCTTGATTTTTATTTGCAGTTTCTTTTTTTTTATTTGTAAATTTCATTTTTATTTCTCAAAACTTAATTTTCCCTTTGCAGTTCTTTATTTTTGTTAGCAAAATAAATTTTTATTTCACAAGAAATTATTTTTGCTTTGTGATTTTCGGAAATCTGATTTTTAATATTTTTGCCAATTACTTTATTTTTTTGTTTGCAAAACGTTCTTTTATTTCGCAAGAATATATGACCCTGCATTAACTCCATAAAATCCAAGTACTTTTTAGGACGCGTGGGAACCCTGTGGATTGGAAATTGAAATGACATGAGGGTTAGTGATTAATAACAGAAGTTTCATTTAAAGGTGAACAAGCCCTTTAAGCCAAGGTACCATGCATCATTCCAATGAAAAAAAAAAAGAAAAAGCACACATTAAATATAAAAGTGAACAATTACCAAAACGATTTATTATAAAAATACATAGTTTCATTGAATTAAAGTGAAATCATAATTGAAGAATCTGCTATAAGATTCAATTCCAATTCAAACATACTGCTGAAGTGTTAGCTCAAAACGACAGAGAGAAGGCTCTGTAACTGAAGTTGGTGAAAACATCGATTTGGTGACTGCTGCCCCCTACTGTCATAACCTGTAAGATGAACATTGCATAAAAGGTTACAATCATTTCTTTTCATGTTTTCCCTTTCCTTAATCATAGTCAGTTTTAAACATTTTTTGTATTGCTGCAATAAGCAGCACTTGTAAAAACAGGCACCTACCCTATGTTCAGTGTTTTTCAAATTGAGAGCCAGTGTGTTGAGTGAAGACGGAGAGCAGGGAATCTGAGCTTTTACTGTTCCCCCATGTAAACAGTGGGACACGTATGGACCCTCACCTACTGACATGATCTGAATACAACCAAAATACCATTATTTATTTCATATTTAAAAAAATATCTATACATTAAGGTGCCTTTTATTTTTAAAGTCACATATTAAACAAATAGCCATTCTCACCAGATCCTGGTAAAAGACAGCTTCTCTTTGACAGCCAGACAGAGGGAAGACAGAGGTGGGGGACATGGATCTGAGGTGCCATAAGGAGAGTGATGGGCCTCCACCACAAAGCTGAAAGGAGGAAATAGATGACTTTATGACAATAGGGACATTATGCCACAACATCTTGACACACACACACATTCCAGAGTAGCGGTTGACCATTCAATGCTCACAAAGATAGTAACTGCGGTATTCAAAAACATGCATGTCAATACACATGCAGAAACATGAAGCGAAAACAGACATGAGATAAAGAAGAACAAATACACTGTGACAATAGTTTCAGTGTCTCTGTCAGCCAATCACAAGGCAAACTTACCATCCAATCAGAGTCTGTGGCAAGACAGCTGATCCACTTGCCAAACTGTGGGCGAGCACATTCCTGACCCCAATGAAAAAATGAGACAGTCAGTGAGAATGAGACATCAATGCTGTCTTTTTGCTCACTCGTTTATTCCTTCATGTTAAGCAGAGAAGTGGCTTACCTCATATTTGAAAACCTCAATACAGTGAACCGGCCGATTTGTTCGTGAGTCTGGGGGAAGATGCGCATAAAGCTTTAGGTTTCTAGGTTTTTTTTTTTTTGAAAGTACGGGTAATAGAAAGAGTGTTCGTCACCGACTGACCCCAAATCCTCACAGCACCATCCTCTCCACCAGAGAGAATCTCCCCTTCCCGCTCTTTGAAGGACAGGCAGTGGATGTAGTCAGTGTGGCCCTTCAGTACAGACTGCACAAACAACACAAAATACAAAAAATGTTTATAGGATCTTACTTCAAAGACCCACCATCCCCCTCAAGATCACTAAGCTTCCAATGAACCCGTAAGAAATTTTTGCAATTACTTTTACTTTGGCTTGGTTATTTTATTCATCAATGAATCCCCAACTTGTCCAGCATGTTTTACACACCGGATACCCTTCCAACTGCAACCCAGTGCTGGGAAACACCCCTACACACTCACACCAGACACTACGGACAATTGAGGTTATTAATTCACCTATACCGCATGTCTTTGGACTGTGGGGGAAACCAGAGCACCCGGAGGAAACCCACAACACGCAGAGAACAAGCAAACTCAACACAGAAATGCAAACTGACTCAGCTGGGACTCCAACCAGGGACATTTTTGCTGTGAGGTGACAGTGCTAACCACTGAGCCACTGTTGCCGGAAAAGGTTGAATGCAAGCTTTTTGATTACTTCGTAGCATTACAGAACAAAGTGCATTACAATTAAATAATAAAGTAAACAACAGTTACAGTCATTGTTAGAATGTAGCTGCTTTTAGCATTAAGCTAATTCATAATGGTACACATGTTGAAGCTGAAGTTTAACCAAAAAAATTGGAGGAAAAATATTGCCTACCTCAGTTTATGTTTTTCTTGTTTTTAAAATCCCCAATTTAAGGCTAATTTACAACATGAATATAGTTTTAATAATCGTTTTCATGTGGGTTACTTAATATACTTGTAAAAATACTATAACAAATTGGTAAAACTTGCACACAATATACTTCAGTAACGAATCAGTTTAGACATACTTGACCAGATGTGAAAATGATTATTCAGTTCATTTTGGCCAGACACATTTTTTTTTCCAACAAGTCACATGTGGGGCTTTGTAGTCACCACTAAATCATGAAACATAAAACAAACACACACGCACACACAAAACTGGAATAGTTATGGGCCACAACAGTAGGTCTTAGAGTCGAAAAGTTTGAAAATAAGTTCATTAAAATCCCAAAATACTATTTGTACTTTCCGTTCAGTTGTGATTATAAAAATAAACTGAAGCTCAGATGTTTGTACTGTTTTTATTCAACAAGAAAAAAATAAACAGAAAATTTTATTTTAAATTGATAAATATATAAAAATATTTATCATCATCATTACATTTTAGGACATTAAAAGTGAACAAGGTGTAGTCTAACTCACTTTGAAGGTACCAGTCTCCATGTCCATGATGTGAATGTTATTGTCTCCTCCTCCAACTATCAAGTTGTTGTCCTGAGGAAAAGAACAGTAGCAAATATGATATATTTATATACATATATCGATATGTAGACATACACATACATAAACCTTTGCAAATGCACTGATATAAATCATAGTTTGTCACATACATACATTCACTTCCATTTTAAGGGGCTAGTTTACACAAAAACGAACATTTACTCAGTATTTTCTCACCCTCAAATGGTGTCAAACCTTTACATTTCTTTCATCTGTTGAACACCAAAGAAGATATTCTGAAGAAAACTGTAACCATTAAAAACTATAGTAGGAAAAATAAATACTACAGAGGTCAATGGTTACCGGTTTCCAGGTTTCTTCAAAGATGTCCTCTTTTGTGTTCAACAGAAGAAAAAAACTCAAAAAGGTTTGAAACAAGTAAAGGGCGAGTAAATGATGACTCAATTTTCATATTTTGGGTGAACTATGCCTTTAAAGGTTTTTTAGATTTTAGTTAAGGATATCTATAAGCTAGTGTGCTCCAAAACACCAAGTTCACATTTAGAAGATATAAACCTTCAAAAGCATCCAAGAGCATTCAAAGCTTGCAGTTCATCACTTCCACCTAAATCGATCAACATTTATTTATTTCACGTTGCATACTTCATACTTCAGTTTCTCATTAAATCTTGACCAATCCAATGCTCTCTAGTAGGCTTACATACCCGTCAACCTTTTTGCCGGGATTCTCCTGTATTTAACCATTCTATCCCGCTATCATCTAGTTTACGTATTTTCCCATATTTCTTCTGTATTTTTTATCTTTCTATAAAAAGTGAAAGTACCGTCAACACAGCCAATTTCAAATGTGATATAATTGCAAATGCTGTTTAAGAGATCTGTGCTTTCACTTTATTTTAGCTTGAAAGTACATCGAAATTAATATAAAAATGTCTGCATTCATTTTTTTCCATTAAAGCGCAGTGTTGATCGTCACCTTTCCTATGCAGCCCCTGAATCAATGAATGCATGTATTAGTGCTGATTCCTGACTGACGTACAAAAGTGGGCAGTTTCAGTGTGTGTTTAAACAGACAAATGCATGTAAACGTCCATCCTGCGTGTTTTATTTTAAACACAACTAGTTTACTCTTAAAATAAGCATAAATAGTTACTAAAGAAATCAAATGCTTTCATTATAGAGCTGTGGATTCATTCCTGACACCTCTGTTATCAAACAAAACAAAATGAGAGATTCATTTGCTACTCTTAGTTAAAAAAAACTATAGTAACTTTAATCAATATTTAAATACAGCGAATAAAAAGTGAACAAGATTTTACAGCTTGTTTTCATTTCAGTATAGGCCATTGATTTCAATAGGCTAAAGCTTTTATTTATTGTCAATATTTTCTAATGTTTCCTGTGTATTCTATCATTTGAAGCTAATTGTCATCACATATTTTTACATCCCGATGTTGACAGGTATGCTAGTATTTGAAACGCTCCATCCACTTTAAAACAAAAAGCTACTGGCTGTTAAAAAAAAACAAAAAAAAAAAAACTCTTTTTACGTTTAAGTTTAGACTTCTATTAAAGATTGAATAAAAATGCACATTTCAAAGCAGAACCTTTAAAAAAAAAACTAACAAATACATGCAAAGACAAAATATGCTCAGCATTTTTAAAATAAGATAAATATGTCAAATACAAACCTTTGGGTTAATGATCATCGCATTGATTTCTGGAATTTCAAGACTAGTCCTGTGTGGAATAAGACATTGCACAAACAACTGAGGCAGTTCACAGATTAATGAAAGTCATAAAACTAACTGAGCAATGAGCGTGTGAGAATGAGCAGGTGAATCTAAATAGTTATTGACAGTCTCTCACTCATAATTAGGTTTTCTTGTCCATGCAGCTTTGGTGCTCTGTGGAAACATAAATAAATAATCATGCTAAGCTTATTTGGACTTTTCTGAAGTTTCTGCAAGCACAAAGCAAAACTACGAAAAGGAATATAATTTTTTCCAACCCAGGCAAAACTCTACCTACTTTTTTGATGAGCTCTGCCCAACTCCAGGCACTGATCTCTCCATTCCCAGCGCTCAGGAGATGAGATTCAGTGGACAGAAGAGAGAATACAGGACCGTCGTGAGCTGAAAACATTAAAAAAGCTCTTTTACATGTCATTGTAATCAAAAACTATATTTAATTTTCATGGCATAATAATTGCTAAATGTTTTATCAAAATAACAAATGACAATAACAAGTGTAAATGTAGACGATCTTATGTTGTCCTCTTAATAATTTATTAACCCCACTAGAATCTGTCTGAGCAATTTCTGAGCCCATCTTTCACTATTTATTTACTTATGTAGATACTAGGGATGCTCTGATCAGGATTTGTCGCTAATACAGAGTACCAAATCCTTGTCATGGTGATCAGCCGATACCGAGTACCGATTCTAAATTCTTCAAGCTTTATAATACATTAAGCACATTCACCCTAGTATAAAACTTAAGAGAAGATCTTCCCCTTAAACACGTCTCTTATAACCATTTACTATAACCATATTACTTATAAACATATATATATATATATAAACATATATATATATATATATATATATATATATATATATATATATATATATATATATATATATATATATATATATAAGATATTTATTTATTATTTTTATTATTTTACCATTTACCTACGTACTATTACTGTATGTGTGAACATGTCATGGCCAGAAGCAGCTTTACAGAAAATAATTAATTCACTCATTTTACTTCGGCTTAGCCTCGTATTCATCTGGGGTCACCACAGCGGAATGAACCACCACAGAAAATAATAAATTATTTACCTCCTCATTTGTTGTGGCTACTGTAGGCTAAGTATAATATACAAGAGCGCACATGTGTCTTACTCTGCTTGTAAACTCATCAATGAACACCAGTGATCGGGTTCATGAGATCAGCGAGTACATATGGAGTCATGAAATATGATTATCGGCTGATACCGATCTTCGACCGATTAATCAGAGAATGCCTAGATACTTAAGAAAATGTGCCAACAATAACAATACTCTGCATATTCTACACTGAAATATACTGTATTAATAAATACTCCTCATGTCACATGTTTGTGCTGCAATATTGGATAGTGTAAATCATTCTCTATTAGCTAATGTTTATACGTTAAATACACAACACATGTAAAGGGAAATATCAATAAAATGTGTCTGACCGGTAAAGTTAAGGATGGGCTTCTGACTCCTTTCTGATGCATCTGGGCTCAGTGCAGCTGAAAGACTGTAAAGACAAGACTAGTAAACAAAAACCATTTCAAGAGCCATTTAAAGAGATAGTTCATCCAAAAATGAAAATTCTGTCATAGTTATTATTATTATTATTAACTCTACCTCCACTCATTTCAAACCTGCTTGAGTTTCTTTTTTCTACTGAACACAAAATACGATATGCTTAATGGTAACCATTAACATCCTTAAAATATGTTTTCCTACTATGGATGTCAGTGGCTACAAGCTTCAAAACATTTCCTTTTTAGTTCAACAGAATGGAGTAAATAAAATTCACTTTTTTGAGCAAACCATCTCTTCAACATAAACACAAAACAGTCTTAAATACATACAGATACGTCACGTATAGCTACTGGCACACATCTATTAACAAACATAACTGCAGCACTGACTATGAACTGCTCTTATAACAGACGGTTTACTGTGCCTGTATTTACCTGAACACTGCAATCTCTCCATAGTTGTTGCCCGCTGCGAGGTAGCGACCGCAGGGAGAGAAGCTCTGAGAGAAGACTGACATGTGCAGGAGCTGGACAAAGACAAACGCCTGTCACACACATTGCGAGTAATACCTCAAAAATCTACACGTGTATGAATGAAACTGCATATAAAGATGTATATGAGCTAATTGTGACAACTATTAATGCGCTGTTTTTAGTGATGTGATAATTTGAGCTAGATGAAAGATTGAATACGATTCCAGCTGTTTAATTTACCTCAACTGGACCCATCTTCGGGAGATTATTAAACGCTTAATGTAACTTAAAAATCCTCAGCTACTTTTTACACAAAGCCCTTTCGTGTGCTACTCATTCAAATGGCGTCGCGTAAATATGACGTTTCTCCGTAACCTACCGTCACAGACAGCGCCCGTCCTTAAAAAAAAGTTAGCATGGTTACAAAAAAATGAAATTAAAAAAAAAAAAAATTTAGCATGGTTGCTTAACTAGTTTTCGCCATAGATTACTTCAGTTACTTCAAAAGGGTTAATAATTAGCATTAAATCTATAAAATTGTATTTAAGTTACAATTCAAATGTAACATGTCTAAGTTTTAACCCATGTAAACCTCAACGCTTACATAATGGAAATAACTATTTTAAATCTTTGAACTTGAGCCAAGCAGGCGTTTTTTTTTTATGTCCAGAACAATACCTTACAAAGCAATAACAGCATGTTTCATACATGCCATATACTGACATTATAATTTCATACTCAATATAAGAGTTTCTTAAGCATGTGGCCATCTGTTAGTCATAACCTTGAGCAAGATATCCCTTAATTACATTTTTCAGAGGAAAATAATTTTAATTGAAGTACCTAACACCCCAACAGTGGTTATTATGATGCTTTAATTAACATAACCACATTACCACAGCGACTACTACAGCATTTGAAACAGCCATATCACTCTGCAGCCTGGTTAGTACCTGAATGGGAGACCACTTGGGAAAACTAGGTTGCTGTTGAAAGTGGTGTTAATGAAGCTCAAAATGTGGTCTGTGTGAGTCCTAATGCTCCAGTAAAGTGAAGGGGACACTCTACTCTCAGTGAGCGCTGTCTTTGGGATGAGACATCATGGGCACTTCTCGTAAAGAGTAGCTCACTAGTTATAGCTGGTGTGTAATGAGCGCACTGGCATCATTGTCCTGTGGCTGCTGTCGCATCATCTAAGTGAATGCTGTGCACTGGTGGTGGGGTGAACTCATAGTTGTGAAGCATACAAATAAATGCACTATAATAAAATACACATTATATTACAGCATTTTGGACAAATCTGTGACTAAAATGAGATACTTCTGTGTGAAAGTCAATTTCATTGCTTTTAATTGTTGACTTTGAGCCCATGTACTAAGCATAGTTTAGAAATATGTGCCATTTTGTCAAATTCAAGACACTGGGCCTTTTCGTAATTAAATCAGTATTAACTGATTCATCATTTAATAAAGATCAGACGTGGACTGAATTGTGTTTTAGCAATTATTAATATATTTCCACTTATCCAATGTTAATGGAACATCTGAACTATAGGCTACAATCAAATATAATACCATTAAAGGTTGGATAAAAATAAAGATGCACACAAAATACATACTTGTATATGTTCATGTAAGAAAACTTCTCATTAGATTATTCTTATCTGACCAATGAGAAAAAAATATTAAATGTTTAATTATTAAAACGACAGCTTTCAGTTTAATAGAAAATATGTTACATAAAGATAACTCCCAATAACAAAACCACAGTTTCAGACATGGAAGATTCTACGGCCATTTTATTATTCATAGCTCTTCCTTTTCCACAAATAAACAAAAAGAAACAGAATCTGTCCACATAGGCAGGAACAGTAAATCATCCATTCTGAACAGCAAATTACAGAAGTTCATCTACATTCAGAACAATGTAGCAGACAGAAAACCACTAGACGTGTGATTTGCGCATGTTTGTGTGTGTGTGTGTGTATACAAATAGAGTCCAGCATCTGTTGGCACAGAGCAATAGTTGACTAGCGCTTCAGTGTCTCAGCTGGCCTCTGCTTGAACATTAATTACAACATATTAAAAGTAAAAATAAATCCTCCCTTTTTGGGAGAGTTACAAAGAACCAGGCTTTGACAGATCTTCCTCTACAAATGGTGAGAGCACCACCATTAAAACTAGTCACATTTCTAGCCTCATCCATAGGATACAGAAGATCCAATCCAGTGAGGGTCAGGTAAGTGTCCAGAAAACAAAAATGTGAACGACGATTCACTCATTTCCTCCGTCGACTGTCTGGAGATCGGCTCCTCGACTTCCTGCTTGCGACGCTGATGGAAAACAGTGGTGAACATTAATATCAGCAGGCTGGAAATTAGGAGTGTGCAGTAAAATGAATGCTTTGGTTCAGAACTGACCGTCGAGAGGGTGGAGAATGTGCAGGTCTTCGCTGCCTCGCTGGAGGAGAGTAACTGAGTGACCGAGAGTCTCTGAGCGAGTCCGCTGGCACTCTTTTTGGCCGTGGAGGACTGCAGATTTCAAAGGAAATGGAGACAGCGGAGATTACAGCAGAGAAATGAAAGGCCATTTTATGTTGACAATTTATGCAGTAAATGTGTAATTTTAAAACTACCAGAGATCAGACAGATATTTGGATCCCCCAATGATGATGCTTTATCTAAATACTATCTTTTGTTGATGGCAGCTGATTTGTGTGCTCTAGAATAAAAATAGTAAATTCCCCAAATGTATGAGCCCAAACTGAAAAAAAGCACACGTTTTTACTCCAAACTGACTTCAACATTTATTTCACCTAAATCCTTCTGTAAGATGACTTCTTAGTCATGTTTATTAGTCACACTGAATTAAAGAGAGCAGTTGAAGATGTCCTATAAAGAAAATATAGGTGTACCAAGGCATAGATGAATAATAATTCAGTACATGGAAATGGGCATACTGAGTCTCAAACACCACTGCATCAATCCAATTACGCAAAGGGTTATATGAATTCATTAACTGTGGTTGATTGATGTTGTACAAAATACAATAATACATCCATGTCTGTTTATTTGATTAGATTTAATTATAAATGAATCTATATTCACAACCGTTTCAAATATGGTCAATTAGGACTTTCTGAGCAAGGACTATTTTATGGGGTAATAAATGAGCATATAAATCCACTTCTGGAGATTTGTTGAACACACCATCTTACCTAAGCCGCATACCTACTACTTATATATGAGAGAACAATTTATTGGATCAATTTATTAGATCAATTTATTAGATCAATGCAGTATAAGGCACTAAAATCTTTTATTTAAAAAGCACTGGGATTTTCCTGGGTTTCTTCATGGGTATTTGGAGTTTCAATGTGAGATTACCCTCTGATATTTGGAGATTTACAACAGTGTTTCCCTGACAAGATGTGCATTACAAGTACGCAAAGTTTCGACTTGCGCTCATCGACGTTCAGACTTGCCAAGTTCAGATTACCAAAAACCAACTCCAGAGGATGCGAGGACACAAGTCGGGTTCTTCTTCAAATGGAACAGCAGTTTACTTTATAAGGCCACTTACCTCACTGAGAATTCATCGGTTTCACTGTATATTAAGAATAAAATTATTTAATTGTGTATATCAAGACCTTATAATTAATAAATCTTTTTTTTAATCTATATTTTTGATTTAAGAAAATTTAAACAAATCCCTATAAATGTGAATTAAATTCTTTTATACATAAGTAAATGCTATTATACAGACTCGTGTCTTTGATTATCAGATTTAAAGTTTAGGATGTAAACAGTTGGAAATAAAGATAACAAACAGCGTACAACACGGTAACAAAGACAACGATAATATGTAATAAAATAATAGTCAAAATAATACACCTGATAACAAATAATAGATTCAACAGAGATTTTTCAGCAAAAACTGTCCATTAGATATGTACAAGATGTATAAAATATCATGTTTTAACTATAATAGAGAGATGAGTTTGATTCAATTTATGTTTATTTATATAGCGCTTTTCACAATGTAGATTGTCAAAGCAGCCTAACAGTTCTAGTAAAGTCCAGATTTCAGAGTTTAGTCCAGCGCTACATCCGAGATAGACTGACCAAAGTAAAGCTGCTCTTAGCAAGGAGATTTTCACGAAGGTGTTTAGAGTCCACATAAGCTGAAGCACATCGTCAGACTCGCTATGTTTGTAAAAAAAACTGCCGATTTGAGTTTAAAACAACTACATTCTTGCCTGAAAAACTAAAATACTCCACTGTTGTGTCACAAAATAAAGTTTATGCTGTTTTTTTGGTAAGGTGTGAACTTTGAATTGGAGTATTTCAGCAACAGTTGATGATGTTTACGAGAACACAAGATTGCAAGTATAGACAAGAATGCATATTGAGAAACAGCCGATGACTTAAATGACATGAAAATAGCCAAATATCTTACCTTTTTGTTTTCTTTTCTTTCTCACTTTCAGATGAGGATGACGATGAAGAAGCTCTTCCTTTTGCTGTCTTTCCAGCATTTTTATTTGTGCTTGCTTTAACACCCCTGTAAAAACAACAATTAATATGAAGATCTCTTTTAAATGAGTGAAAAAAAACTTTATTATTGGGCACTTACGCCTTTTCTTTTTCTGCTTCAGAGTCTGAACTGTCTGATGAGGAGGATGATGAGGATGAAGAAGAGGAGGAGGAGGAGGAGGATGAAGAACTTGAGCTGCTTCTTTTCTGCTGTTTGCCAGAGCTCTCTTTCTCTGATTTCCCGTTTACTGCAGTCTTTCCTCTTGCTGATGGCTCATGAACAGATGTTGGGGATTGCCTTCTTAACCGACCTCCCGGAGGATCAGTGCTTGTTGGTGATTTTGATCGGGCAGGTACATCACGATAAGACAGAGGAAGAGAGAGGCGAGACTCTCGAGGAGAGGAGGGAGATCGATGTTTGGAGGTCCTTTCTGGTTGCTTATTCCTAGCCTGTTCATTAGCTTCCCTTGATCTATCTTTATCTGTATCAGTTGGTTTTACACCCCTCATGGGTCTCTGAGGAGAAGGTGAGGATGAAGAGGAGGAACTAGAGGAAGAGGATGGCGAGCGGCGTGGAGGAGTAAGATCTTTAGGTGGCACCCTTGTCCTTTGTTCTCGCTCTTTCTCTCTCTCCTGTTCACGCTGCCTGTCCCGCTCTCGATTCCTCCTCCTCTCCTGCTCTCTCTCCCTTTCCCTTGATAAGGAGCGACTACTTCTGCGCCGACGTGCCGGAGAGGGAGAACGGCGAGATCTAGGTATAGAAAGAGAGAGGGAAAATGTTTGTGACAAGACTAGCAACTTTTAAA